GGCCCCAAGCCAGTTAATCCGTCCACAAATCAGGCTGGCGGGAAAAGGGTACGTCTGGGATTGCGCTCGGCGACGGGAAGAAGGATCGATAGGCGATCAGTCTATCGATCAGCTAGCCGCAAGTCAGATCTCTTTAGAGGCACTCTGCAGCGTGCTCAAAGTTCTTCGACTTGGGCGGTAGTCGCGCGAATTTTTAAACGGCCAGCAGGCCAATTACCAGCCGCTACGTGTGAATAATTTAGCGCTGGCCAATAGCGGGACACAAATTTGCATTCGAATAGCGGGAACTCTTTGCACCGTGCATTTCTGTGCTGCAAAGAAGAAATGCACCCTGCAAAGAAGGCTACAAATTGGCGGGAACTCTCTTGCACCAAGGTTCTTCTGTGCAGCAAAAACCCTCACTGTGCAAGAGGCTCTCATGTGGCAAGAAAATTCCATCGTGCCGAGGCACCAAAATCACTGGGTTGTGACACTTCTCACGTAAGCTAGGCACAGCAGCAGTTGGTGTCAATGATTTCTCACTGTTGAAGTGTGCACTGTTAGATGTTTCACTGGCTGTGTTATACCCTTAGCCCAGCATCTTGAAAGCATTCTTTTAGTTGTAGAGATCAAGAGAGTCCCCAGCAGTGATTGCCAGGAAAATCCTGTTAACTTTGTTAATCCTGCTCATTACTGGTATCAGAAAGTTCCAATTGGAATGAATGACCTTCCTCAGGGACAAGAGGTTATCCATTTCTACGAAGTTAGTAACATAGCTAGAAACTGATTAACCACCAGGAAGAACACAGGTGTCCTGGGAAAACGAGGTAAATCACAGAAAAACAACAGAGACAAAACTAAATTGGGAGGAGACACCTGTCCCAAACGGAGAATGTCTCTTCTTGCACATAAACACGAGTTAATTGCAAAATAAATATTTACCATAATCAGTAATCAAAGATAGACATTTCACAAAGTTACATGAAATCCAAAATCCTGTCCCAGTCTGCAGCAGGCCTGCACTACTGTTTCTCAGCTTCCTTTAGGGAGTTGCAAGGGAGCGTACAGAATGCTTCCTTGTCCTCTGCTCTTTGCTTATATGAGTGTTAAGGTATCTATCTGTTTCAGTTCCACTTTTCCCTCTATCTGTGCTCCCTGTGTCTTTTGTATATGCTGGACGTTGATGTAAGCCAGGGGCTGGCAACTATTTGGGCCTGTGGACCACTGAGGTGGTTCTGGGGAGGTGCAGTGGGCTGGTCAGCGCTGCCTACCCTGAATAGCCCAGATCCCGTGTGCCCTGTGGTTCCTTCCCATACTGCCAGAAGTGCACAGCCTGAGCCCCAACCCCAGCCCACTCTGCACCTGTTCTGGACTCTCCCTGGCCAGAGCGGATGAGCTGGAACTTGTGTGCATAGCCCTCAAGGAAACAGAAGGCTAAATATACATCATAAGAGAAACTTGGAAAAAAAAAAAAATACAGAACAGATGTCTGTACATGACAAACACTTCCCTCAGCAAACATCCTAAGGTATAGGGCGTTAAAAATGTCTGAACCATTCGTTGATTGTCTGGGGTTTGAAGAACAAACCATCACTTGTACAAGCTACTGCAAATGTGCCCGATTGATATTGAAATACCCCAAGACAGGTTTAGTGACACCTCTAAGTATCCAGTCTGGCTGCTCAGGCCCATCAGCTGTAAATTGACCTACAATTACAGGGTCTGCAGAGATGCACAAGGTTTACACGTAGACAATGCAAGAACAGGAGTCAGGCAATTAATAGTTATGGTGTGATGATAAATGTCTTTTCCTCCCTTTTCCTCCCTGTTTGTTTGGACTCTAATTGGCCAACTATCAAGGAAAAATGCCTTTGAATAGTGTAAGAACAGAATTTGCAAGGAAAGTGTGCGCTCCAGGAGAAGCTGAGAGAGAGAGAGCAGTGCTGCATCGCACCCAGCTTAACCAGCAATGGATCCTGCTTGGTCAAAGTTGCAAGATGGGACCAGCATTGGTGAAAGAACACTATTGCTGCTAAATATGTACTAGGACTTTGTGGAGTAGCTCATTTTATTTTGGGAAGGAGTCTTTTTGTCATTTGGTTTTATAAGCTTGCTTGTGGTATTGTTGTTAAAGCTTTTCTGCTATTGATTAACTGGGTGTTGCGTCACAGCTGCTGCCACTGCTGTGTATGCTTAGATGCAGCTCTGGTCCTGCTCTGGCCTGGCAGTGGAGGCATTGGCAACCCTAGCTGCAAATCTGTGTCAGGGTCAAGGCCTGGGCTGCAGCTGCTACTGCAGCTCTCCACTGTTTCCCACCTCGGTGTGGTCTAGAGTCCTAAATTGAGGCTAAACAATGTGGGGCAGACAGCAGTGGGGATGAGGGGCTCAGGCAGTATGAGGTGGGAAGGGCAGGTGACCGGGGCACAGGCACGCCACGGGAATGGGGTAGGGTGGGAGGCAAGGGGCAGGTGTGGGGATACAACCCTCCGATAATTAGATTCCTATACATGGTAAATTATAACATTATAAATTTTCCATGTGTCGAATCTAATTAGTTGGGGGTGGGTTAAAATCAAAGTTACCTTGGATTTGGGTAAATATGGTAACTAAAGGAGGAACAATGATCAGTGCTGGCTGCCTGGTCTTTGTGACTGGAGACCTCTGTCTTCCTGGCCTGATGGACCCACTGGGTCGGTGTTGCCTCTTAAACAGTGATGCTAGGTAGGCCTTCAGCGCTTGGGTCTAGGACCCGCCTGCTCACTCTGGGTAGATGTAGAAAGTTCAGGCTTAGCAGAAGCTCCTTCTGTGACTAAGGTTGAGGAAGAAAATCATGCCACTCCTTGGGATGGCCAATAAAAAGTGTCATGTAGTATGCATCTTCATTACTAAACCATGTCTAGCCCAAACCTCTGAAGACCTCAGTAGGATTTTCTTTTGTTGTGACTTATGAGGGGCCTGTGCATCCCAGCCAATGCCTTTGTACCTGGGTGGTGGTCAGACGGTGGCTCAGCATGACTCCTTTGTATCCTCTTCTCAAAGTTTTTCTACCAACAGTCACCTGCATCCTTGAGTACCCAGCATACTGCATCGCTCTGCACCAGCATCACCCCCACCAAGAAGATTGAGATGGACCATACCATCATGCCTAATGGCACTATTGTGACCACTGTCACCACCATTCAGTCCAGGCCCAAAGTGAACTGCAAGCTGGGTAAGGTTTGATTAGTATGTGACTCTTAGACACGTTGCTGGTATCTGTAGTGAGAATAAAGCAGCTCTTAATTTCACCAGGCTTAGTCCTATAGCATGTGGTTAGCTTCTGTAGCTGTCAAATGCCGCAGTCCCTGCAAATGTGCTCCTCATGTAGATAATGAGAGGGGTGCCTG